TACGTGCCAAACAAATAAAACGTTATTTATAATGTCGTGAGTGCTGTATGAATTTTCTCGTCCCAAAATCAATGCAATATTGCGCGCCGTCTGAGTCTGACAAAATCCTTATTTGTGACTATTCAAATGAAACCTATTCCGCGCTGTTTATTGGTGATTGACTGTTGGAAAAATAAAAGTTGAAGTTTATGCTAGCAAGTGAAAGTTGGTTTCCCGTGGATGAAAAAAGGGTGTAGTGACGATATGTTTAAATAAGCCCAAAGGTTTCTGAAAATCATCATCATCATCATCATCATCATCATCATCATCATCATCATCATCATTATTATTATTATTATTAATCAATTATCCTTCAATGAACAGTCCCACTATCTCTTATCCCCAACTATTTATGGCTCCTTTATTTCTATTCCTTTGTATCCAAATGGGCGTTTATTATGTGATGTTTAAAAAACGAGCAAGGGTGTATTATCAGGTTCGGCTTTGCCTTGAGTTTTTAAACCTGATACCTCTGATAATACACGACTGCGAGCTTTTTGAACGGCTTCAAAATCTCTAATATAGATCAACTCATTTTACACTAATATTTAGATTTGGGTTATTTTGGTCTAGAAAAATTGGACGTGAGGTTTAGCCGGTTCTTTATCAGATATAAAGACACTCATTAAACATTAATTTCTTTTGTTTTTTCTTTATGAATTATTTATGAGTGTTTGAAATTCAGTGGCAAAATTAGAGATTACCAATTGGGAAAGAGTCAACACAAAACTACAGCATGTTTTAAAGATGTATTCATTCATTACCCTGGAAACAGATCTGAGAAGGGAAGGGAAGATGATGCGTGTCATCTCGTGAAAAATATTCCAGGAAAAAACGTTTCTTGGTTGCTGTAGTAAATCGGTGCAATGTAGGTAGTGATAAGTAGCGAAAAACGAAATTCCCAACGTTTTCAGATTACCTGAACTCCCAGAGGCTGTGAAGAAGAGAATAAATTTTATTAGCAATAAAATGTCCAAAGGTCAAGCCACCCAATTATAATGTTTACGAAGCAAAAATACGAAATTCCATTAAGCGCTTGTCAACTGAAACAAGGTGTGTCAATACTCGTTTCAGGCTTGCATATTAATTATAAAATTGTGGTTTTTTAAAAATAAAGAGTGTAAAAGTCTGAAACCTGGCGATAACTTGCGATTCGGTTGATCAGGGCGCGGCTTATGAGAACTTTGGATAGATTCATAACAATTTATACGTGTGCTTTGATCATTGGTAAACATGTAACTTGCCCACTGCCCTTCCACCAGCACTTAAGAATCAACGCAATTGCGCGCAATGTTTTTCCAGACGTGTTTGCTTTGAATTAACACATATGCGAATCTCGTCTATTTTTTAAACTTCCGAACAGCATGTACTTAAAGTAAGCCACTCAACTCGGATTTATTATTGGCGGAATATTTTGAGAATAATTCTCATTTTTTGGTAAATAGTTCGGTGACTTACTCCAAATCCCTCACTGATCCCCTTTTGCTTGAAGTTACCAGAAGCAGTCCTTAAAATTTCATATCTAAACGCTAAATTCTCTCTGCTGAAACTGATGCGTTGAAATATCGTCAAACAAGAAAAGAATAAATAATATTGACCAAATGGCACCTTTCCTTGAACTGTCAAAAGATGTAGTGATAATTTGCCAAACAATTCCAATGAAAAAAGGGACAACTTAATTGCGATTCGCGGCTAAAATTCCCTCAAGAAATAACCGCCTTCATTTAGAAGTCACCAGTTTGTTTGGTCACAAGTTCGAGTCAAACGTTTATAGTAACTTAAGAATATCCCGCTAAGTTTTTACTGTACCAGTCAATCGGTACAAGAAGGGTTGTTGTTATTTTAAGTTCTAAACGTATCTTAAGAACCATCTGAAAGATGTATTTGTATTTGGATGGTTTATTTGTATTGTTGTTAGTAATGTCTTTCGGAATATTATTAACGCAATAATGAAAGAGCTGGAAAAATGATTCAATGCGGCGACAATTGGAAGGCAAACGCTCGGTAGTCTGTTGGGTAAATGCTACTGGAATCGGTTCTGTATCAATAGATCTCGATACGAAAACATTGATCTGAATCGACCAACAAGAAGCGGCTAAATTTCAGTAATAGTTGCATAGACTTGTTAACTGAAATTAAAGGCAGCGTTAAAGTAAAGTTAGACCCTACGCATCAAAGTCATGTCTACAAACGAAAGCTTGAATACCACAGCTCGACCAGAACAAAGAAACGGCGCCGTAGAAGAGTGCTTTGTGAGAGATTCGACAGCTGTTAAGTTGGTTCATGTCATGACATATTGTATTCTGGTAATTGTGTCTTTATGTGGAAACTCCGCCATAATAACGGTGGTCTGGAAAGTACGGCGAATGAGGAAAACTATCAACTTTTTCATTGTAAACATGTGTATTGCAGATCTCCTTATAACACTGTACATGCCGCGCTCGATATCCGTCTCTTTCACGGGATATCGTTGGCTTGTAGGTGGAATATTAGGACTGATATTCTGCAAATTTTCCGTGTTTATGCACCAAACAGCGATAGCAGTCTCCATATTCACTGTGATTGCAATTAGTTGCGATCGGTTTTTTGCCGTTGTTTTCCCACTCAAGACTTTCATCACAAAGAAAATTTGCCAAATAATCATAGCTTTTACCTGGATTTTGTCAGCTGCGATTCGACTGCCCATGTTGTACGGACTAGAGGTTACAGTGGGCAAAAACGGCTATCTCGGATGCTTACTGTCTCTAGACGATGCCTTTTACAAAGGAGCGGAGAAGAGTTACTATCAATTCACCTTGATTGGATTATTTGCGGTGCCTTTATCGGTGATTGCTATACTCTACTCAGGAATTTTTATTTCACTGAGACTCAGAAAATCTCCTGGAGAAGTTGTTCCAAGAGGAGCGGGAAGAGAACATAGGCGAGACGCCGTCATAATGAAGAAAGTGCTTCGCATGGTCTTTATCGTGGTAGTTGTATTTGTGTTATGTTGGCTACTGTTTTTCATTCAGCTTATTTTGTTTTCCTATAAAATTCGAGTTCCTTGTGAGGTGTTGTTCTGGCGTCTGTTTCTGGCTCATCTAAACAGTGGCATTAATCCCATTCTATACCTTGCGCTCAACGAGAATTATCGCGAAGGAGTTAAGAATCTCATTCGACGTTGGAGGCCGGGCGGGTTTGTCGCTGAGAAAACGGTGTATCCCATGAGGTCTGTAACTCTGGAGAGCTCTAGAAACCCGCAAATGGAAGGAACACAAACCAAAAACAACGTTAAGGAATGAGACAATAGTGATCTATGAACTGATGGGAGCGTTGTTTTTTACTGAACTGAACAACTTTATTTAAGAGTCATATCTTCTAGCTGGCTACACGTAGCTTACAAATCGGGGACAACCTCGTATTTCTCCGTCCTTGCCTGAGTAACTTGGTTGTATGTCTGCTTTCTTGTATCCGTCGTGAGAAATATTTCAAGAAGTTCTCAGATAACTTTAGCAAGCTAATAGATTTCTATCGCTATGATGTTGATAGTGAGGTAGTTTGGTATTTTGCAGTCGCAATTTGCAATAGTCATCGCACTTTGTTGTACCTGTCGCAATTTGAAATTAACTGCTTGTTGCACTTTGTCATAAAAAGCTGTCGCAATTTTTAATAACTGTTAATAGAGAATAATGGGATTTTCTCTTGTAAGTTTCCATTGCGTTTTGTGATAAATAGACTGCAAAACAGTCGGTTTTTTTCCTCATAATCGTTTTAGTGTAGCGTAAGAGTAACGTAAGAGCTTCACACGTCCTATGTGGCTGATAAACTGGGTAGTACTTGGTGTAAGACTGCCCAAAATGTCCCGGGCCACCGCCCATTACTGTTAGTACCAAGTACTACCCGATAAACTTAACTGTCGCACATTGTAATCACTCCATCGCACTTTGAAATAAACGTTTTGAGAGTTAATTATCTTAAAAACACGAATGGTACCCTGCCATAATCAAGGGTGATGAGGTCATCAAGCGCGTAACTTACCAAAAGTAATAGAACTTCGAACAAGCCGACATGTCACTAGTCTCCCTCGCAGCCATTTTTTGGATGTCACGCAACGAACGTTGCGTGACATCCAAAAAACGGCTGCGAGGGAGACTAACACGTCACGTAAGTTTTAAGTCTTGAAGGGGATCAGTTATAAAAGCAAGTCTCATAGAAAGAGACTATGATAACTAAAGTTTATTACAAAGTAAATTACAGTTGAACCGCGCCTCAACGGCCATCTTGGGGACAGAAGAAAGTGGCCATTGTAGAGAGGTTTAAACAAGAGTCAATGTATGGACTGTCCGCCAAAAAAAAGTGGCTGTTGTAAAGAGCCCGGAAAGAGGTGGCTGTTCGTGGGGGTTCGACTGTATGCCAAATTTCGACAACTTATTTTTTTACAAAACGCCATGGACAGTAAGAGCAATAATGGCTCTTGATGGACAGCTATTACAATGGCGACAATTTTTTATGACAAAGTGCGACACGAGTAATTACATTTGCGACAGCTATGTTACACAGTGCGATGATTATCGCAAATTGCGAAAGTATATGATATCCTTGATTCAAATTTTAGTTTCATTTATTTCAAGCTCATAATCATATTACCATTTTCAACAATGAAATTTAAAGCCCTTAAGACTTTAAAAATTCAACAGTTCTTGAAAAACTCCTCCTGTGTTTCTATTTATGCGGTCATTTAAGTAAATACGCTGTTAAACCGAGTGCGAAGTGATTTCATCTCCATACAACTTTTTAAGTTCTATCTGGCCTATTTCACCCCTAAATCAACGTCTACTACTCCATCAAGTAGCCTTTCAGAATGGAGTTAGGGTATTAACTAACTTCGATGTTTTCCTGAAGGTATTTTATTCTGCTTGGTTGCTTAGCGTCGACTGCGATGTCGTGTAGGTAGGAGTATATGTACCAGCAACGCCTTCTGTGTACCGAGTCATGCTTGTTTGTAGCTCAATTTGATTTCGCCCGAGATTACGTCTTTTGCGAAATTTTTCATTGAGAAGCCCTCGTACTTTCTTTGTAGTGGTGAAACACAACATGATGAAAAATCCTGCAAGAAAGTAATAGAAGTTCAATTAGATGATCATTTCTTGTCGATGCCGCTTTACTTTAAACTATAATCGATAGCACCTACCTTGCATACTGTTCAACAGAGTAGAAGGATATTTCAAAAATTCGGCTTTTTGCCAACTGGAGGCGATTAATTCCAGAATCCAACTCAATCCCATGATAACTGTCAGTTTGATGCAGATGATTGGTAGCGAAACACGGCTGGACGTGCTAGCTGCTG